CACACACACACACACACACACACACACACACACACACACACACACACACACACAGAGAGAGAGACATCTACACACACACTCACACACACCTACACACACACAAAGACAGAACGAGAGAGAGAGAGAGAGACAGAAGGACAGAAACAGAAACAAAAACGAGCACAACGACGGCAATCTCTGCTTATATCTCCTCTCGTCTTTGTGTATTGCTGGCACTGACCGCTCCGTGCTTTGTGTGTGTTGGCGGCCGCCTACATCTTTGGAAGTGGGAAAGGCTATTTTCTGTTTTCCGCTTTTTTTCTCTTTTTCCGTGTTTCATGTTGCTTTCTGCGTCTTTCGCTTCTTTTCTCTTTTTAAACAACTAGGCTTCCATTTCGTGACTCCCTTTGCCTTTGCATGAGAAGCAGCAGAGCTTCAAGCTGCCACAATCAGCGTAGCAGAAGAAAAAAATATATTGAACTTATTGGCTGCACATGTACAGGGAAGGGCAGGAGTCAGCTATTTAACTCCACCCAATTACTACTCAAATTTAGGACTACGCAGCAGTCAGTATACAATGCAGTCGCCACAACAGCTATATTTCCACGAAATATGAGCACACCAGAGTGATACCCTCCTGCAGCAGCCCCATTGCCAGTAGCACTAGCAGCAGCAGCAGCAGTGGCAGCAATAGCAACGGGGTCCGCGGCCGCGGCAACTGTAGCATAAGTGCTCCGGTGTGTGTGTGTATGTGTATTTGGTGCTCTCTTTCTCTCTTACTCCTCCCGTTCCCAAATGCTTCAAATACCTCGCTCAGCAACTGTTTCCCTATATATAGCCTACCTCAACAGTTTTCTTCTTCATTTCCTAAGGATATGTTGGCCTTTGCTTTTTCTGCTCGCCTGAGTATTTGCGTACTTGCGTGTATGCTTGTATTTGCTTTCAAGCCGCATTTAGATGGGGGGGATTGGCACTAACAGATGGAAAGAAAACAGATAAATGAACAGAATAGCGCGGCCAACACCCTCATTGCCGCGTTGTATATCTTTGGGGCGTTCTGAAAGGAGTAGGGCCCCTAGAATTTGAAGGTGCTCCAAATACGTTGAAAGGAAGAGTGTAGCAGCCATAATATAGTGGCTTTTGCACTAGTATATAATGTATGCATCTGTATATTACATACATTGTATATATTACAAATTACAATGTTTTGTCCTTCAATAGTGCTCTATAAATGCATATAATAGGGCTTTCAGTGTTTCAAAAACCGTCCGACAGGTGAGGGGGAGACCCGTTCTTTTTTTCCTGCCCTGTTTAGAACAATTAAATGTAGGAGTTTATTTTTCTTGCAAGACGCCAGGGTAGTGCATTGCGATGAGAGCAGGAAGTACATCACGTGTTTCTTTAACTTCAAGTGCACATCATACTGACCAGTACTTTCCTTCCTTGCTCCCTTGAAGCGACGAGCCGCAGCTGAGAAGTAAACGAAGAACTAAACAGGAACCAGCGCAATTTTTTAGATGGGGTGACACCTCCTTTTTCTGTTCCTCATTCGAGGAAGTGCTGGAAATACGGGGAGGAGCAACGGATACGAAGGTTGGCATTCGAGGAGCAAAGGACGCGAAGGTGCGCATTCGTTAGAGAGGAATTGCCGCATTCAGTTTCAATTCAGCGGCCCGTAAGCCATGGCTTAGGCATTCGTCCCTATATGGATAATATTTTAGTCGGTGTTCCGTGTGCTTCTCTCAGTTGTTGTTGCCCGAGGCGATGAAGGGTTCATTATTATCTAACCTACGTGATGGAGGGAGTGCTTTAAAAATATTTAGACAGTAGTCTGATGTGGGAAGGGGCGCTTTAATGTATTTTTCCAGTCTTTCTCATGGTGCCTGAAGTTTCCTTTTCAATATTAGTGAGCGCTGAAGAATTAGAATATACTGAGCATGGTACCACCAAGCCGGGGCATCATGGCAGTTGATGCTAATATTGCACACATTTTAGACTGTGGATACAAATAAAAATTAAAACGAGAACTAGTTTTCTGCCTTCTAATATAGGAGTTCAGGGTTGCAGCTGCAGCAGCGGCTACAACCCTGAACTCCTATTAGCAGCGGCGATCAAGGCAAGCAAGCCGCAGCCGACAAAGGCCGGCGGCACTGTCTACGCCGTTGCAATTTCTTTCCTCTCTTTTCCTTGTGAGGACAAATTGATTATATTAGTTGTAAATTGAGGGGAAAACATCAAAGATTTCATATTATTTATTTATTATTCACAACATTTTGCCTGTGTGCGGAACAGCTGAACGGCGGCGTTGGCTGGAGGGCTGCGGACGACCGGTCGGCTCAGTTACTGACTAGCTGAGGCAAGATGCGTCTGATTTCATTGGGGGCAACAAGAAGCATGCATAGCTTTGTAAACCCCAGTATTTGTTCCTGAGATAGGAAAGTTCATATATTTGTTTCGCAGTTCGTAGATAGCGGAAGTTGCAACGGTCCTCGGTCTGCCTTTCGCTCCGCAGCAAAGCCAGACCGACGCAGACCACAGGAAGCTGATCAGCGGAATCCGTGGATAATTCGGCTGGTCTCCGCCTTCCTGATAAACCAAAAGTTCAATTTTTTGCTGGACGTCTTTTAAAAGCTCAAAAAATACCCCAAAATGGCTCGGTTTGCTTCGCTTTCCACGAGCCCGTGCGTCCGTTGGGTGGCCTTGGCGGCTGCGATCCTCGTCAGCGTCGTGGAAGTCCCGGCAGTTCAATGCCAGTTACGTTTTGCAGCTATCGGAAATTGGGGTTTTGACGTCTCTGGCCAGAAAGAAGTCGCGGAAACCCTCAAGAAGGCTGCTGCTGAACAGCGCATCAGCTTCTTAGTCAGCCCAGGTAGCAACTTCCCTAATGGCGTTTCCGGCGCAAACGACACCAAGTGGGAGGAATCGTTTGAAAATGTCTACTCTGATGAAAACGGCTCTCTTAAAATGCCATTTTTGACGGTCTTGGGTGCGGAGGACTGGTCCGGCAATTACACCGCAATGCGCGAAAGAACAGATCTTGTCTACGGTGAAGGCTCCGAAGCAGATCTCGTTTCAAACTCACCTAAATGGACTCTACCCAACTGGTGGTACCACTACGCCGTACACTTCGCTGCCACAACTGGTGAGTATTCATTGATACTTTCCACTGAAGCAAGGGGTTATGTCACCAGCTGCAACAGTTGATGCAACAGCAGCTGTTGCAGCTAAGCAGCTCTAACTTTAAAGGGTTGCTCCTTATTTTTTGGTTGTTTAGCCTTTGTTCTCCTTAAGAGGCTTCTGTTGAAATGGGCTGTGTGTTTTACTTGTTCTTCAGGAAGCGCCTTCATCAGCTCCGGGCACAAAGACATGAGCGTGGGTATGGTGTTTGTGGACACTTGGGTTCTTTCCTCTGCTTTCCCCTTTGGAAACGTAACAGAGAAGGCATGGAAGGACCTCGAGAGGACTTTAGAGATAGCTCCAAAAGTGTTCGATTACATCATTGTAGTGGGCAACCGGCCGGTTTACAGTAGCGGATCATCTAAGGGAGACTCAACATTGCAGTATTACCTGCAGCCGTTACTGAAAAAAGCCGGAGTAGACGCGTACATCTCTGGATACGATCGCGACATGGAAGTCATTGAGGTGCGCCATCTGTCTGCCTCTATATACACTATGCATGCTTGCAGCATTCCTGCACAGACCAGTGGTCCCGACCACTGCTTTCATGTATGGCTTAGCGTGTGCTTTGGCGTGAGAATGATGCGCTTATTCCTGTTGCATTCACCCGGAAGCGAAGTTCAGCACACGATTATGAAAGACGAGCTGTATAAGCATTTGACGGTTCTTCCACTGCAGCATCACTTATTCCCGCGTATTTCGGTTTGTCTGCACTCCTTCAGGACGACGATATCTCCTACATCAACTGTGGTACGGGATCCCTCTCTGGCGGTTCGGCTCTCGTGAAAGCCTCAGGCTCGAAGTTCTTCAGCGGCGACAAGGGTTTCTGTCTCTTTGAAATGTCAGCTGAGGGACTTGTCACGAAATTCATCAACGGAGAAAACGGAGAAACTCTATACGAGCACAAACAGCCACTGAAGAACAGGCCAGAGAGATCCACCGTAAGACCTCTTAGCTGCGTGCCCCGGAGTGCATACACCACAGAAGTTAATATTTCGACAACATGCATCCTCTTCTTGTTACGTGAACGCTGTGCAATTTTTAATTTGTTTTTCTCTGGTTTTTGTTTCAGATCGACCAGTTCAACTACCTCACTGACATGCCAGAAGTGACTTATTTCCCGGTGCCTGAGATGGGGAAGCTGCCGGGTAAAGACGTTTTCGTTCGAGTGGTCGGGACCATTGGTCTTTGCATTTTGACTTTCTTGGGCACCCTGGGCATCGCAACTGGCATTTCGCGTGCAATGAAATGAACATGAAGGAAATTTAAATTGCTTTAGAGCTTTAGCTATTTTAAACCGCCTCCGAACTGACAGCTCCCACTCTGCCGTCCTCCAACCGTGTACGTACATGTGCATGCAGCGCAAATTAGTCTGAGTATTGCGTGTTCAATCATGTGGCACGCCTTACAAATGCAATTACAGCACTGTAATGAGATGGATAATGCATCGCAGCGTATCGGCGTGCACGTACACCGCACGGAACATATATATATATATATATATATATATATATATATATATATCGGTATTTCGGCCTGGACTGTCTCTTCTTTCGCTTTCGGCATAAACCTTTTAATTTGCTGTCTCTGTCAGTTGTCATGCGTTTTTCAACGTGAAGTAGATGATGTAGCAGCATAGGCAGCAGTAGCGGGTTCGTGCCGCTTGATCAGCAACAGAAAACCCATTTCTTGCATTACAGTCTAGCTACTGTACATGCGTCGAGAGAAGAGAATCTGCTTTTGTTTGTATTGGAGTTCGATTCCTAAGACAAACAGAGGCAGCAGCAACAAATACCGAAGCGCGAACGGCGCAAGAGTTGAGTGTCTGTACACCTCAGCTGCTCACAGCGCATTCGGGGAAGAGTCCAACTTTCGGGCATTGTTTTAAGAGGCAACAGAAAGCACAAGAAGTGCTCAGTGGCCTTCAGAACGAATTGAGGAAAGCTGCTGCTGCTGCTGCAGCAGCGGCAGCAGGTGCTGGTGTGAGAAACACATATTGCGTTCCGAACAACGAATTCCCACTGAGAGAGCAAGAGAAGACGGTTGGAGAAGAAGCAAATGAAGTACATGAGCTGCCTCAAAGCGAACAAACCGACAGCACAAATATGAAGAAAAGAAATGCACTAAACATCTGTCGGTCGGTGAGTGTGTGGGAGGGATGCTGAGCTGATAAGGCAAACAAGGACGGCATCATCACAGGAACGAGCCAGCAGCACGCAACAACAGTCTTCTTCCTCTTTGTCTATTTTCTTTCCCATTCTTTTCCTGCTATTTAATGAATGTAATAAGGCAAAAAGAAAAACGGAGCGGAGCTGCCAACAACCTGCACCCGTTGGTCGTATTTCCCCTCGTCCGCCCCATACATCTCCACGCAGCTGAAAATCCCACGAACGCTGCTGCTGCTGCTGTTGTTGCAGAAAGCACAGCAGCAGCAGCAGTAGCCGTCGATGTAGGAGCAGTGGACTGCGTGTCGTTGTTCAGGAGCACATCTTCGCTCTTTCCAGGAGGGTCTTGGGCAGCTGCAGGTTCGGATGAAATCTTTGCATTTCCCGTAGGAATCCGAGACTGAACAAGAACGCAAAACAAAAACAGGCAAAACGCACCAACGAACGAAACCTTAAACATCTCTATACTGCAGCATGGAGATGCAGATGTTTGCGCAAGTATCTGACAGTCACTACATTTTTTTGGCGTAAACGACAGAAATAAAAAAAAAGCATAAAACACGCAAGTAAGGTTAAGGGTGCAGGGGCATTCGCACCGCAGCTGAGGCTCATCCATATTGGCCCAGTCGTTAAACGGAAGTCGCACTTTCTCATTGGCGGTGACCTGAAAGACGGCATACAATAAAATACGTTCCCTAGACCCTAACTCCTATGCCCATTTGAAAAGGCAAGAACAGCTCCTAGCGGTGCGGTGGACGACGCGGTCAATCTAGAGTTGGCAGGGCCATCAGGAGAAGCCAAAACAACGGCAGAGAAGACGAGCATTTCTTCTCAGAAACAAGAGTAAATGAGAGTGAAAAGAAAGTCATAAAGACAAAGACAAACCTCGATGGCGGGATTTCGCACTTCTTTGAAGAATGGATGCGCCAGGCACTCGTCCACAGAAATTCGTCTTTTCGGGTTGAATACCAACATCCGCTTGAGCAAATTTAAAGCCTCGGCTGAACAAGACACAAACAAGTGCAAAAAGCAACACAAACAAATGGATTTGGGGAGAACATCATTCCCGCTACAAGATGAAAAAGTGTATCATACGAGATACTGATGCATGTGTTGTATATACAAGATGTAGTATATTATCTATTGTAGATATATATATATATATGGATGGATGGATATGCACAAATTATATTAGATACAGGCCTTTATGTACACTTTCGAGGGCCCGTAAAATGAGGAGAATCAAGAATGTGTATCCGAACGGACAAAACGGCAGAACGCAACAAAAAAACCAAAGGCAAAAAACCAAAGGCAAATGCATTGTTTGTCCGTCTTTACTTTATTATATGTTAATTTGTCATTTATTATCGTTTATTTGCTGTTATTTTTAACTGTGTATTTGTGATATTAGCGGACGAGAAGAAGCGGAAAAGCGCTCAGCTAAGTCGTGCGCCTCTTTGGGGGGGAAAGTGCGGATGTATTGTTTGGCCTCGTTTGATTCCAAAGCTTCGATTTCTTCTTCTGTTGGAGTTCCCAGCACGTTGAATATGACATTCAATTGGTCCTTGTTGCCGCGCGTCTGCAACCTGTGGCAGCAACGAGAAGAAAGATAAAAAGACGACAGTGCACCAACGCGTAGGACGGAAACTAACGTGAGAGCCGCGAGACAGCGAGGATGAAATACAAATGCAATGAGAAATAAACAAGCTAAGAAAAACTCCAGTGTAAACAAGGAGAAAAGAGGGAAGGCGAACGAGAAATGCACAGACAAAGATATAGGCCGCAGACAGACAAAATAGCAAACACTGAACAAACACAAAGAGATCCGACGACAAAAAGACAAACCAACGGCGAAAGCAACCGATGGAGAAGCAATAGACACAAACCAACAGGCATGAAGGGAGAAGGGCAGCAAACAAGAAAGAACAAACAAACCAACAAACAAAAACACAAGGAGGGCAGACCGTGAGTCATCTCCATTCTTCTGGTCTGGCGAGAGGGGAAAGCAAGAAGAACCGGGGAAGAGGGGCCCCCTGTCGCAGTGCGACTCCACGTTTTCTTCCTGCAACGATTGAAGGGGAAAAGAAATATACTCGCAACAAAATGCATAGAAAACAGCCCCAGAAGCATGAAAGAAATACACAACAAATCACCTCAACAGCGTGCACGCATTCAGCAAAAGCAGCAAATTAGCATGTGAGAAACGCGACGACGGAGACCAAAATGTAGACGGCGGGAATTGCAACAGGAAAAACACAAAAACGAGAATACCCAAATAAATCACACGGTACACAGGCTTTTTGTCGGTTTCTTCGTTTTCGTCAGAAAGAAGAAGAAACCGACAAAAAGCCTACACGAGCAGCAGCACCAAGTGGCCTGTGTGTACGGCCAGCAACAAGGAAGAGTAAGCAAGGTGCGTTGCCCTTTGCCCATTCACACGCAAACGGCACGCACTTTGCATATTTTTCTACCCAGTGAACGCTTCTAAAGAAGACAAACAAAACTAGAATAAAGCGTTAAGACGGAGAAAAGGACAAAATGCAAGAAACAGGAATTCTCAAGGGGAGAGGGATAATAAGAGGCAAGGAAATCGTGATAGAGGGACAAATGAAATGAAGCGAAGCAGAAATCCTCATAAGGAGACGGACAATCATCGACAACAACTCCGAGAAGATACAGCCGATAGACCAAACGTCGATGGCCTCCGTGTAATTCTCAGCCAATAATATCAACTCAGGCGCTCTGTACCATCTGCAGCAAATACCAGCAGCGCAATAAACAAGCGCTTAAAGTCAAACAGCAAGCCAACGAGAAAGACGAAACACAGCAAACACATCAGAAAGACAAAGCAACAAAAAGCAAGGACAGAGGACGCAAGACAAATGACGACGACAAAGGCAAAAGACAGAAATCTAGAAACAGCCGCAAAAGGCTAAACAGAAGGCCAATTGACAATGCACGCAAGCAAACAGACAACTAAACAGATCCCCCAAGTAACAAACTGTAACCACAAACCCGTGGGCCAGCTGTAGTCGGCCCACTGCTTGGCATACACAACAGTGCATATGCTCCTGCTTCTCTTGTTTCTGCTGCTCGTTCGCTGCTGCTGATCCGCGGCTGCTGCTGCTGCTTTGTTGCTGCTGCCGCCGTTCGGCGTGCTGTTTGCTTTTTATTTGTCCTTATCCTCTACTTGGTGAATTTGCACTGTGATTCACCTCGTCACAACGTGGCCAGTGAGCTGTCTCTTAAGGTTTTTGGTGTGGGAGACGCTGACGATGTCGTCGTGCTGCTGTGTGACGGGGCAGTGGCTGTTTTGTCTTTCGGGGAAGTCCATCGTTCGCGCCAGCCCAAAGTCGCACACCTTCACGCTGCAGTCCTGGTTCACTAAACAGTTCGCTGGCTTCTGTTCAACAGCAGCAGCAGCAGCAGCAAAAACAACAAAAATAGCAACAGCAGAAGAAGCAGCGAAGGCACGAGACGCAAGGCGTTGTGTTGTGCCGGAGTGTCTGGGCTCTGCGAAACTTTCAGGGGAACGCGAAGTGAGACAGCGAGGGGTCTGGCTCTTGGTTTGTTGCCTTTTGTTTGGTTTATTGTAGGAACAGCTGAGACTGACGAGATCACGATGAAGAATCCCCGCAGAGTGAACATATTTAACCCCAACGAGAAGATTATACAGAAGCGTTTTAATGTGCAACTCCGTCAGATAAACTGGCGCGCGAAACAGCTTCTTAAAATCGGAATCCGCGATCTCTAAGACAACGTACATCTCCTAAGCGCATAACAGAAAGCGTCACTTTTCCCACACTAAAAACTCCACAAAAAGACACAAGACCGCAGATGTACAACAACAGCAGCCGCATGCACCAGCAGAAGCAGCCGCACGTAACAGCAGCAGCCGCATGCAGCAGCGGCAGCTGCATGCAGCAGCGGCGCAGCACGAGCCGCATGTAGCACAGCACAGCCAGCTTTGTGAAAAGGGTGCCTTTCAACGCCTTGGCGATTAAACCCTTGATTGGATAAGCCGAATTTAATTTGCCAACGCACATCGAACTTTTCGAGGTCGTTAGGCACGAGGATGTCCAATATTTTAACGATATGATCGTGGTTTAGTCTGTTTAATATTGCGATCTCCCTAAGAATTCGTTTGCAGTCAATCAAGTCCTCAAAGACGCGGTGAATCTTCTTAATTGCCACAATCCGCTGCTCTTGGTTGTCGTACACCTCACACACATGGCCTGCATGCACCGCCAAAGCAGCATACACAACAGTGCAGTTTGCTGCTGCAGCTTCGTCTCTCGCCTATCCCCATCGTCAAAAGTGAATGACAAAAACAGCCCTGTTCTTGATTTCCTTCGAAGACAAGCGGGAGCTTTAGGCAGCGAAAAGCCCTCCAAAGAAAGGTGTAAAACGCACCGTAAGACCCTGTTCCTATAAGATGGTGCAGTTCATATCGCTCAGGCAACTGCCAGTCTGTCAGAGGATGCGGCATGCGGGTGGGCTTCACGGCATGGGGGTTCTTCCGTTGCTGCTCGTGCTCCTGATGTCGGTGCTGATGCTGCGACGCGGGAGGCTGTACAGTCCGCGGCGGCTGCTGAGCTGAGCTACAGGGGGCGGGAGATTCAGGGGCCGCTGCCGCTGCAGCAGCAGCTGCTGCTGCTGCTTGTTTAGCGGCTCCGTTGGGGGCCCCCCCATGGCACTGCTGCTGGTAGTACACATGCTGGTGGTGAGGGTCGTACCGCTGCGGCTGCTGGTAGCGCGAGTACTGATGCTGCTGCTGCAGTTTCTGGTACTGCGGATGCGATGCGCATTGCGTGTATCCTTGTTCAAGTCCAGCAGCCGGCGCCGCGCTGACGGCGCCTTGCGACTTTTGATAGCTCATTACAAAAAACAGGAGATGATCAATAACGCTACGAGCTGGTATGCTATGTTTAAATCTTGCAAGACCACTACAACACCATGGCCACGACGCGCGAGCGGCGGGCACTCAGCTGGAAACGCGGAAAAAGAAGAGGGGTTAAATTAAGACGCAGGTACATCGAAAGCGGAAGGAGAGATGGAATTAGGCCCACGAGCCGAGGAAAGCTGAAAAAGCCGGAGTTCAGAGCCTCTAGCCGTCAAATTCCCTCTCCAAAGATGTGTCAGTGAAGGGGTCCGACCGGTCCAGTTGAACAACACCAACAACACGAGGTGTACGTACACCTGGCGGGCGTCTATCCGTTACACACCCGCTATCTACGGCTCCTCGGGCCTTCTTGGAATCCCAAGAATGTATTCAATTCCAATATTCAATCAAATATACCTTGTATTTCCAGCGGGAAATCCAGTTCCGCTGCAAACTGCCGCATGTCAGCCCGACCGCCTCGGCGTCGTCGGCTCAGGCACCAGCAACGATGCCTGACCGATAGTCACGAGACAGCACATGCGTCTATACCATTCAAAAAAAGCACGAAAAGCGAATAAATAGAAATATATCTTCTAATTCAAGAGATTTCCTAATGAAGTGGCATTCCGGAAAGGGTCAAGTCGTCCGTTCCGCGCGCTGTCATGGGGGGCTGGGGAGGTCGCAGAGGGCCGAAAAAGCGTCTGTGGCACTACCTCGATGTTAAAACCCGAAAAAAAAGACAAACGTCTTCTGCGAAAAACGCTAAAAACAGAACAATGAGGAAAATCAAGGTATTCAAAGGGTGCCAGGCAGTTGCACCCCCGCGCGCCCCTAGAGCCTGGCAAAGGCTAAAAAGGAGACCTAAAGACCTTTACCGAATCTTTCTCTTGTTCTTAAACGCTGAAGGAGATATTTAAACACAATACAGAACAGCATGCATACCCTATAGAGGACAAGGTACCGCCGGATGTATCGGACCCGAATCCTTTGGGGGGGTTGCGCATTGGGGGGCCTCCTGTCCTGCCCCCTTCGTAGAAATCGATGGATCTGCCTTTCAAGCGAACAAATGCCTCTTGACCTATTCTTTTGTGCATCTTATTCGTTAATATACTCCAATATGAGTTGTCTGTACACTCTCTTAGAACCAGTGGTGTTTTGCTGTGCAGGTCTCGTGGGGGAGGCGGGAGACTGCCGAGTGTGCATACAACGCCGCCCCTTGCGTCTAGCTCCTGTGATTTACGTCGAAATTTCCATTGCAGCTCTATTTTCAGAAAGTAGAGACATTATAAACAGGCCTGTAGCACGTTATTACCCAGATATTCCCTCAAGCTGCAAACAAGCGAAAGAACACGCACCTTCACTGTACCATGGTCAATGTGAACATGGCACGTGTTACACTACTTTGCTTGCAGACTGCATCCAAAGAAGCAAGTAAGTGTTTGGCGACGGTCTACATGGTTAGCGCATGCAGCGCAGGGGGCTTGGTTGTTCTTGCACGTGGGACGGCCGTGGAGCATTAGTTGCAACTAGGTGCGAAGCAGTTAATGACAGGGTGGCTCCTGTACGCAACAGCCCCAGGCCCTTGTCCACTGTACCCAGGACGCCTGGGTATGGAATGGGAAGCCAGTTACGTTTTAGGAACACTTAGTTTAAATTGTTGGCTCGATGGAAGCTCACAAGGGTCCTCTGATAAATTTGAGGGGAGCAGTGACCCAAACAGAAAGGGGTGATGAGGCGCTCACGCTTTGCAAAGCTACTGCACGGAACGGTGGAGAAATGCATGCACTTTGTTTTGATGGTCTAACAAGGACAGCGGTTTGGGTGTGTTCAATTCAAGTAACGCCCGACAAGCAGGAGAATTGGGCACTATGGAAGGAACCGTCCTCAGATCTATTAGAAACAAATAGCTCCAACTGCCCACCATCCGCTGGATGCCCAACGCACCGCATCGAACTCACTCCCGGAGCAGCCTCAAGCATTGTTTTCCAAGGTACGGATGAACGCCACATCTTGAAGAGGAAACTGAGAAGAAAGCGTACGAATTGCTAAGAAAAGATGAACTTCAAAAGTCAAGGGGTATCTTTTGACGCAATCCTGTCCTGGCGACGCCGAAGGGCGGGAGGTGGCGCAAATGAGTCGACTTCAAGCCCCTCAACATGATAATTGTGAAGCAGCATTTTCCGATGCCCGGATCGACGAACTACTTGAGCGCTTGCAGAGTTCAGTAGTCTGTTCATCACTGGACTTCACTGGAACGTTTTTGCAGACCCGAATGCATCCAGACGACAGGCACAAGACTGTATTCCGTACCCGCAGTCGGAAATTAAAGTACACGTGTGTGTCCTTTGAACTCGTGAATGCAACACCCGAACTGCAGCAACAGGGCAATCACCATTTCTCAGGGTCAATCAATGAGGGATGGACGGTTTGATTCATCGGTGAAGTGCATGCGCATAAGCAGTTCCAGCACCTACGGCGAGCTCTATGCGGTACTGTGAGAAATAGTGGGTCTTAAATGCGCGAGCAGGTTTGTTTTTCACACAAGCATTTGGCTGTTTTGAGTTTAGCAAGTGCCGAAAGACCCGGCAAGAATAGAGGGTATTCGGCCACTGCCGAATACCCTCTACCTTGATACAGTGGCCCCTACCCCTGAACTCAGGGGGCTGCTATTATTGCTCAGCTCAACAGCGGGAGACGAGCTAGGCCTCACAACATAAATGGCGATCTACGTGGTACCGGACAAAGTGACGTCTCCGCTGATCATACGTTTCATCTTCGCTTCGACAATGCTTTTACTGGCCATACTGGGGTCGATAGCGAGTGGGTAAGGTTTTTTGGTGGCTTAGGTTGCGCCCCACAGCCTAGGGATATGTAGGGATATGTCCTCACTTGTCTGGAATTGCAGCACCTAACGCCCCGCCAAATCCAGGACTCCTGCGAACTCTTCCGATTTTCAAATGGATCTGTACAATACTTCCAGATCCATTTGGAAATCAGAATGCACTTCATATTGGGTTTACCGCCAGTCGGAGGCTGCGATAGAACCTACGTCGTTGTGCACAGGCTCGACTACACTGCCTTCTTTTTCCCTTGATCAAATTCGGCTACAGCTGAAGCAGCGGCCCACTTATTCATTAATCATGAATACACACCCCGCGGCCTTCGGAAAAGCATCCTACTGGTAGGAATCCGGATATCATTAGTAATGCTTGCTGTCGTGAAGCAGTAGCTGCAGCGAGATGCGGTGCAGCTCCTGACCGGTTGGCTTCTTTCCACAGCTTGCTTCCGCCCTTGGCCTTTTCCTGCTATGCAGAGAACGCCTGGAGCTGAAAGCAGAGGTTGGCAGCCTTTTGGGGGCTATTTCATTAGATCTTTGGCTCGATTATTCTCCACGCCAGTCTTCCCAGAAGATCGGAACCCTCGTTACGTCCATTGTATCGACTGCTGATATTAATTTTCCCTCACCTCGTATCCGCAGCACTGAGCGAAGTAGCTAATTGTGTAAATGCCCTCCGTATCGCGTATAACGGCTTCCCTTTGTTTTGCATGCACATGCAGCTGGCAGTAGAGCTTAGGCACAACTGGAGTCTTCAATTATAGCACAGGACTGTACTGAAAGCCGTGGTACTCTATAGAACAGTTTGTGACAGTCAGCCGACGTCCTTGCTATTCTTCAGGCGTCTTGAGTTGAGTTTCTCAAGGGTACGGTGCTGCTGTGGAGAGGAGGTGGCCTGCCATGAGTTGCAAAAACCGTGGCATCTCCCGGGCATCCACCCATGCATGCATGCATACTCAACTCCGTTTCCGATCCATGCACCTTCGCACAGTAGCCAGTCGTTAGACGCCTCCTCGGCGCTCAGCATCCTGTTTGTGACGAAGTGGGAATATGACCTACAATAGGAAAACAATGTAGAACTTCCCGATCGGTGACTCGCGATGGCATGCCCACAACGTTTGCAGTGTAACCAGTTGATGCCTGCGTCAACGTTGTGCATCACCTATTACATCGTCGTCATACGCCGGCGTTTCCATTGGCATTATTCAGCAATGCCGAAGTATACGCCAGCGTAGTATATATGTGTTGTTTAGCGATTAGCTTTCTCCGTTGCGTGGGACGAAATAACGCTACGAAAAGGAGGCTACCCTTATGCATAGTCTAGACACAACATCAAGTTTATTCCGAAGCACTTTCAACAATTATTTCGACCCCCTCTTTAGGCCGGAGAAGGGGATGCTTCTGACCTTTCAAAAGTATCTGAGGCCACAGGTAACCCTGAGGACGCGTTAGTAGTCCAACGGTTAGGATACCTGCCTTCCAAGCAGGCGACCCGGGTTCGACTCCCGGCTGACGCATTCTTTCTTGCCTTGCTCGCTAGTCTGCACACGCCTTCTAATTCGCCGATTTGGTTTTGATCTGGACAGTTACACTGAGCCCCTAGCTAACCAACGCACTGAAGGAACGATGCATGACTGTAAAAGACTTAGTAAGCGTATATATTCTCCCACATTAGCACTCTAACGTGCGTTCTCAACATCTGGAACTGCTCGTGCTCTCTGTGAAGAATTCGTATCCGGTCTGCTTTGAGCGAGCTTATCGTTCAGCAGCCATCTTGCCTGAGGATGGCACCAATCGCAAGCGTGTTGTGCGCAAACAATTTGTGGAGCCTGACGGTCATACTTTCACATATGCACATTCGTTTGAGACCCGCAGGATCCTGGAGACGCCGCATTGTTGCTCCAGGGAGTACCATAATTCAGTGGTGTGCGTTGAATTTGGGCTCATATCCCCATGGACAGTTCTGCAGAAGTGTCTATTAAGGCTTGGCAAGTTCCCAACCTCGTTATGAGACTCTCATCACCCGTCGGACTTTTTTGCTCCCTTCCACTCCAAAATGTTTACACTAGATACTAGCAAAATGATAGTCAATGCCTTACATGTAACGACAGTCCATGACCTTTGCACGGGACCGTCGAGGTGCACGGGTCAGAATACTTTCCAAGAAACAGTTAGGGCCCCTTCCAGTCTCCAGGTGTTCTGGGGATGACATTCGCGGCCATATATCGGTAGGTTGTATGTGTGGGTAATTTCCTGATCTGTTTTCTTCCTTCCCAGCTAGTGAGGTGGAAGACGCGTTTTCTTCTCTTTGATGCGAAAGTACCCCACCACCTCAGCGAGTTCCACACTTTCACCCTTTGGTTTGCTCGCCATGGCTGAGAGGTCGCCGATTAGCTCTCTGTAAGACAGCCCTGCTACGAACCACTGAGATTGACGCTCCGAGCCCATTGTTGATCAAGGGCTGATCCACCTCGATAAAGGACAATATCGATAGTGCCACTGCCTGTTCCCTGGTGATCTGGGGGCAAACTTACATCGCAGCACGTTCCGGAAAGATTCCATAGCCCGGATGTGACCCAGGAGGGTAATGTCTGTGCGTGAGTATTTCCACCCTTGTCGTATATCCCTTTCTAATAACGATGGTACCAACAATTGGGTGCTTTCTGAAGACGAGAGGACACCTCCAGAAGAACGCAGAGTTTCCCCATTTCCCCGAAATCACGGCGCCCATCATACTTGTAAGACCGGCAAAGGCGAAGTCGTTCTTCAGGAATTCTTACTGCTGCAAAAATACCTTCTACGGAGAGGATGCAGATACTACGTTTGAACGAGACGCCCAAGCTTTGTTCGCTCTCCCGCAGGGGTGCAGATCATGATCAATACGCATTACTCGCTGGCGTAGAGGCGTCATTTTTGATAACGCTTGTAGGGAGAGTATAGGAATTTTGCCGCATATTCCGGCAAAGCTCCCTTATGAGTAGTTAGTGAGGAAGAAAAGGCCCCCAAGCTGCCGGGCAAGGGTCGCAGCTAGCATTACCCACCCCCCCCCCCCCCCCCCCCCCCCCCC